AGCCTTCTGACTCTGCTCCACCGCTGCTGCTGCTGCTTCTGCTGCTGCTCCTGCTGCTGCTCCTGCTGCTGCTCCTGCTGCTCCTGCTGCTGCTGCTTCAAACCCCTCACCCTGCCGCAACACCTCACCCACTATCCGCGCAGAAACCACAAAGGGGCCCCAGAAGGGGGCCCCAGAGGGGCCACCAAGGGGGCCCCCTGAAGACAAGAGACGGCGAGAGAGGTCTAGGGAGACGGGGAGGACGGCGCGGGCGAAGCGGATGGAGACAGAGAGAGGCAGCAGCAGCAGAGCTGTGCAGGCCCGCTCCAGCTGCACGTACGCATGCACAAACAGCAGCAGCAGCAGCAGTAGCAGCAGCAACAGCAGCAGCAGCAGAAAAGGCCCTACAGCAGCACCCGTTGCAGCAGTACCAGCAGCAGCAGCAACAGCAACAGCAGCAGCACCAGCAGCAGCAGCAGCAGCAGCAGACGTACCTCTCCATCCTTCATTGCTGCTACCGCCACAGCAAGTGCAGCAGCAACCGCCTCCTGCTGCAGCTCGTCCCCTATTGCTTCTGCTTCTCTCCTGGGGGCCCCCTGACCAGGGGGCCCCCCCGCGGGGCCCCCAAGATCTTCGGGGGCCCCCATGCGGGGGGCCCCCTCAGGGGGCCCCCCCAAGGCAAGGAGGAGCTGCTGCTCTGCGCTGCTGCTGCAGCCTTCATCAGCAAACGCCCGAGCCAGCAGCAGATGTGTTGCTGCGTTGAGCTTAGCCGTGCAAGCTCCTGCTGCTGCTGCTGCTGCTGCTGTTCCTGCTGCTGCTGCTGCTGTTCCTGCTGCTGCTGCTGCTGGGGACTCCGTCGCTTTGCTGCCGCTTGCTGCAGCAGATAGAGACGCAGGAGGAGGGGAGATGTGCTGGGGTGTACATACACCCCAGCTAGGGTTTATTAACGAAGACACCACCCGCAGCACGTCTGCTGCTGCTACTCCTTGCTGCAGCAGCGCAGCAGCAGCTGCTGCTGCATCGGCAGCAGAAACACCGTGGGCTCTTTCCACATGAGCCCATGTCACCTCCTGCTGCTGCAGCAGCTGCTGCAACAGCTGCTTCTGCTGCTGCTGTTGCTGCTGCTGCTGCTGCTGCTGCTGCTGCTGTGTTGCTGCTGCTTTGTCTCTCATCNCTGCTGCTGCTGTTGCTGCTGCTGCTGCTGCTGCTGCTGCTGCTGTGTTGCTGCTGCTTTGTCTCTCATCAGCTTAATACGAGCAGCAAAGTTCGAAAGACATTGCTGCCGCTGCTGCTGCAGCAGCAGCAAATCATCAGCTAGCATCGATGCAAATGTAGGGTCACCAGCTTTCTGCTGCAGCAGCAACTGCAGCACCTTCTGCTGCTGCTGCTGCAGCTGCTGCAGCTGCTGCAGCACATCCAGATGTGCACTCGCAATATGCCACCAGCTCTGCAGCAGCAGCAGCTCCTTGCTGCTCGACAGGGGCCCCCCAGTAGCAGCAACTGGGGGGGCCCCCCCCCCTTTGGGCGCCCCCTGCGGGGGGCCCCTATCAGACTGGGGGCCCCTCGGGGGGCCCCCCGGGGGGCCCCTCTGGGGGCCCCTCTGGGGGCCCCCTTGAGGGTTTTGGTTGGGGTTTGAGTGTGCCCATCGATGTAATATATTTGTGAATCTAAGGAGAAGAGAATGAGAGGAAGAGAGAAGAGAAGAAGAGAGAAAAGGAAAGAAAAATAATTTAGAGAGAGAAAGAGAAAGAGCATGCAGTGCTGCTGCTGCTGTTTTTATATCGTCAGGTGTATATACACCCCAAGCTTGTGAAGAGTTTATTGCTGCTGAAGATTCTAATGATTCTAGCTGCGATTGAATAGATGATATTGTTGCTGCTGCT